TTAATTTGCCAGTCCTGTCCTCTTAACATAAGTAAATCTTTATAAACAATACCTTGTAATTTTGCTCCCCTTACTATTCCTTGTATTGCATGTTCCGTAATAGCCCACATTGGAATTTTAAAATTTACCTTATATGAATACTTTTTCCAAACTCTCAAAAGTGCAACCCTTAAAATATGAGATTTAAAAACCCGATCAATTTTCTTATCAAAAAATAAATAAGCATGCCATCCATAATATAAATCCCAACCCTCAACTTACACAAATTCTAATGTTGCCTTGTGCACAAACCAACTTCAGTTTGCCCTTGATACTCTCAGATTATATGAAATCCCAAATGGGGAGAGGGGATGAGACATTAAAGATAATTGTTTAAATTAAACATATGCATTAAAGTAAAATATTTATTTATTTCAGAAAATTGAGTATATGTTTGGCATTGTTGGTATTCCTGTAACGGAAATAGCAATTGCTGCACAAGCAAGTGGAATCAAATATATAGGAATGCGCAATGAACAGGCTGTAAGTATTTCCTGGGTTAATTAATGCCTCTGCTTGCTCAATAACTATTCTATGCTAAAAGCTCATTGTACTGTTACATAATCAGATAATGACAGCACAGATGTAAACATTTATTTATTGCCGAATTGCAACAGAAAAGTGGTAATTTCTACATGTCTCTTTCTTTAACAAAAGTGATATTTGCCAGCTTTCACCAAAGTATTCCTTGGAATTAGGGGAATGGTAGTCAATTTAGTGCATCTCACAGGGTTGTTGTCATAAGAAAAATGGAAGCATCATGTAAGTACTTTATTCATCGTGAATCAAACAAAAATAAAGTAGAATGAAAATCAGTTAAATCTGGACAGGATAATGCAAAACTTACATTAGGGATCAGATTCAAAGTATCCATGCTGTTGGATACAAGATGCAAGAGGGAAAAAACTGTTCAATTAAAAGTATAAAATATGCTTTATATCGGGTCTTCAAACTTGGCCCTTTTATGATTTGTGGACTTCAACTCCCAGAATTCCTCAGCCAGGCATGCTGGCTGAGGAATTCTGGGAGTTGAAGTCCGTAAGTCATAAAAGGGCCAAGTTTGAAGACCCCTGCCCTATACCATTCTGGACAACTGACTGTCCAATCTCTTCTTAACAATCTCCAGTGATGAAGGACCCACAACTTCTCAAGACAAGCCCTTCTACTGGTTAATTGTTCTAACCGCCAGGAAATTTCTCCTTAGTTCTAGGTTGCTTCTCTCCTCGATAAGAGAGGCTCCAACCCCCAAGCCCCCTTTTATATGAAGGGATGGGAGAGTTTTGGTTCTGCTCTCTGAGAGCAGAAAGACTCAAATCTGCACTAATTCAGATTTCTGCTTCTCTTCTAATCCATCGAGTATGGAAATATCCAGATATATTCCACCAGTGGAACACTTCTCTTCCACACCAGGACAATTTTTCCAGTTTGGGCACCTCTTTATTAAAGGAGAAGCTCGAATCCAAGCTAAGTGCTTGAGTATATCTTTAAGTCGAATCAACATATAATGCTTATGCCTGAAGCAGGGATGCAGAAAGAATTACCACATCTCATTTGTCTTTCCTTTCTTCTGTTATTTTCCAGGCTGGCTCTTCCATTAGATAGAGAGAATGAATCTGTAGTCACTGCTCATGGGGTGGGGAGGGAAAAAACAGACAGAAAGGTACAATGTCCTTCCCCAGGAATTCTCCCTAAATTCTTGGACTGTCCCCATTCTCTTGAATAAAGGGTGTATCAAAAAATAAAGATTGTGGCCATGACAATGCTCCACCCCAGTGTTTGCTTCTTCCTAGTCTTGGTTGCATCATCTGGTTCTTTTCTTCCAAAATACCACAAACTCTAGAGCAGCATGCCTGGCTGAAGAATTCTGGGAGTTGAAGTCCACATATCATAAAAGGGCCAAGTTTGAAGACCCCTGCTTTATATAGATAGGGTGATGGCAATGGAAATGTCAAACAAACTATCAGAGCTTTTGAATAGCTTTATGAAGTATAATTGAACAATATCTCAGAAACAGGAAAAACATATTTAATTACACATTACCTTGGTATACAGAATTATGAATTAATGTGAATAATTTGCAGTGTCACAAGTTATATTTTCCCTTTTTTCTAAGATCCCAGGAAAGATCAGGTATCTGTGTGGGAGGAGAGGGGGTCAAGAGAAATGATGGCATTTGCATGATATTACTATACAAATGCTGCAATCTATGTACTTGTATTAGACTTCAGGATGCAAGTATATAATGCCAGGATTTGTTTATAAGGAAAAAATAATGAAGAACCAGTGTTTTAGGTACCAAGGACTTAAAATTATTGGTTGGAGAAAAACAGGCATAAGAGAAGTTTGGGCAGGCATTGGCTGATATCTATCCATCTATTACTTGTATAATGACATGTATTAATATACTGAAATTTATCAGTAACAAAAATATACATGCAGATAATGGCATATTTTTGATTTATAATCAGCAAAAAGGATTTACATAATTATAAGAATAACCATTCCTGGTCCTGCAAAGTTTTATGTAGCATTTTAACT